CAAAAAAGGAAAGAGTTCCGGTGGGCCCCCAGCCACTGGCTCTTGGAAAGCTTCGCCTCAGCAGCCAGCTTGGGCAGACTCACCCCGGTACTCCGAGAAGGACAAGGAGTAGATGACTGACTCGCCCAGCACCGTGAAGAGCAGTCGGCTGCCGTCAGGGCTCCAGCACCCCGTCTGTGGGACACAGAGCCACGTCAACACCCACTACCCAGGCCGGGGAGCTGGCAAGGGATGTTTTGGAGCCAGCTGGAACTGGGGGAGGTTTACTAGAACACTGTACATGCACCTGAGGGCCTTAGAGGCAACATCAGCCCCACACAGGTGGGAAGTGCCCCCATCCTACCTGGCAGCGTCCTTTGATAGTGGGCCACCGCTCGCATGTCCACATCTGAGCCTCCCACACTCTGGAAGAGAGACAAGCCAAAGTGAGTGGGATAAATTCCTGGGATCTGCCCCAATTCTGCTGCTCCAAGAGGAGTCCAAGATGTCAGACCCAATTACCCACCCACTTTACCCCCGCCACATCAGATGCAGGAGGAATGGGAGCAGTTAGGACACAGAGAATCCAGATCTGCTTGGGTTTGGAACAAATGAAAATGATAATAAGGGCTGAAATAAAATATCTCGCAGGGAGGGAGCTCACCTGAACACTGCGGAGGGAGTGGCTGCCAGGATCTTGCTGCCGTCCGGTGACCAAGCCAAGTAAGTGACACCCCCGCCCCCAAACCACTGCAGCTGGACGCAGTTTTCGGTGGACACGTCCCACACCTGGAGGAGGGGACAGTAAGGAGGATGATGACACCAGGACCTGAATGCTGACTGGGTAGTTAGCGCAGCTTTGAGCGAGTTTCTGCATGGAATACAGACTGATGCTTTTGGATCCAGTTCAAATTCAAGAGCTGCCTAATCCATCCCGAGGAAACGCCACCTGTCCCCAGCAGTCCCACAGCCAAACCATCCCTTGGTGACCCCGTGGCATGTTCGTGGTTCCGGTATCCCAAAGCAGCACCCCAGATGGCACAGCCTCTTACTCACCAGCATGGCTGCGTTGACCGGCGACGCCGAGAGCAGCAGCTCCCCGCTGGGAGCCCACGCCAGGCTGGTGACGGGGCTGTGCCCCGGGTAGGACAGCACCTGAGCGCAGCCGGACGACGGTCTGGAGGGAAGGAGAGAGAAACCGCTGCAGTCAACAGCAGGAAGGGCTGGCCTGCATGCCACCGAAGGCTGGGGATGCATCGGCTGTCAGGACAGCCACCTGCCTGGAGTTTAACCCAAAGCCAACCCCAACGGGCTCGCGACAACCTGCAACAGGGCCGGGGAGACGCGCGGGGCTGTCACCTCGTGGAGAGGGAGGTGGGATCCAGGTGCCACACCAGGACGCAGCTCTGGCAGGCGACCGCAAGGCAGGAGGCGCTTTCAGGCCATGGCAGCCACGTTCCTCTGCAGGCGATGCTTCAGCGAGGGGATGGTGGCGCTGCCGGAGAGGAGGGAAGCGTGACGAGGGAAAATGGGGGATCAGAGTGCTCACACCGCCCAGGGCGGGCTGTGGACCATCTCCCAGTGTCCCCTCTCCAGCTCTGACCATGGTGGGGAGGCTAAAAGTGTAGAGTGGGAGGGGGGATGTGCCCCACTGTGACCTGCTTCCGTGGCAGGGGGGACAGAGGAGACCCCGGCCAGGTGACACCGGCGCCGTGCAGCGAGCCAGCGCACACCTCGTGTGATTAAGCGCCGTGCCCCGTGCTGCCCACGGCCCGGCCCCAGGGTGCGAGATGGCACTTGCTGGCTTGAAATCCCAGCTGGGGGAGAGCGCCTCAGCGGGGAGGCGCGGGGAGGGCTGCAGGACCAGCCGGCAGAGTCTTCTCCTGAGGAGGGCTTTACATGCCCTGGGGGAGCAGGGAGACCTGGGGGAGAAAGGAGGCTCAACAACACCCAAGACGCTGCCTGTGATGGCAGCCAGGCCGTGTGCTGCCGCAACCTGTGCCTGCCCAGGCTGCCCCCAGGAGCAGGGAGGGAAAGAAAAATCAAAGCTTAAGTAAGGCCGGAGATTCTCAGAGATGTCCTTTCAGAGCTCCTGCTATGCAGCAAGAAGTTCTGGGGGACAGACGGTGCAGGCGAGAGCAAAGCCTGGGCTAACACCGAGGCAGCGCAGGGCAGAGATGCCGGGGGAATCCTCGGTACGTGCTGGAGGTGGATGTGAGAGGGCAAAACAGGGAGCAGGGGTGTGCGGAGGTAACCCCCGAGGAGCAGCATCTCCAGGGACATGGCCAGCGGTGCCCGGGAGCAGCCCAGCTCTCACCTGTTGGAGTTGTAGACCCGAATGGAGTCATCCAGAAGAGCCACGGCAAACTTGCTGGTGTGAGGGTGCCAGGCAAAGGCCCGGACGGTGCAGCCGGCCCTGGAGAGAGGGATAGGGCAGGGTGAGGAACACCAGCTGCCACACCGGCATTTTGGGCTCAAGGCAGCGGTGATGGACTCTCGGGCATCAGGTGTGACCACCCAGCAGCCGCCCATGGCCAATAAAGGCAGTTTCCAGAGTCACCAGTGAAATAAAACTTCCTTTGCGCTGCTGAATGGGACCATTTTCTTTGATAAATTCCCCGTTCCTGGCAATTATTCGCAGGGTGGTGCCGAGGGGCTGGTTAACAAACAGTCTAGGGTCGGTATTTGAAGGAATTTTCCAAGCCCTGATCTAGTTTAATGCCATTTCCCCCATGTGCAGCACACTGCTTTGCCTCTTGCCGTCATACACAAACTGGGGCAGCCAGAGGCAACGGGGAAATATCTGCCCTAACATCTGTCTAATGGGGAGGCTGAGCACATAAAAAGTGAGGTGATCCTGTCCTCGTACTCCCACCCCTTTCGCTCAGCTCCACAGCCCCATTTCGCAGGGTTTCGTAGACACCCAGGTACGGCGGTTTCACAACACGCAGGACTCACCAGTCCACTGCCTGGGAGAACGTCGCGATCATGTCTTCGCTGTTCAGCTTCAGGGGAGAAAAGTTAACGCTGAGCTGCCTCTGGTACAGCAGTGAGGACCACCCAGTATCCACACACACCCCCTTCCCCGCCCCCCCCAAATATCAGTCCGTCTTGGAGCACTTTACTGTCCTAACGCCTTTCCAGCACCCATTCTCATCCCTTTGCCGAAGGAAACCTGCAGCCTTTGTAGCTGGGCACCACCAGGAAGAATATTTTGCTTTAGTTTTGGCTGGGAAGCACCCACCCACCATCCAAACCAGCCCCCCGGCGCAGGGTCGGCATCGTAGGACATGCTGCATCGCCCCTGCCTTCCTGAGCACGAGGGTTACGTCCGGAGAAGACTCACCGAGAGGTGGGGGAACAAGGAGCCATGCAGCGAGGAAAGCCAGTGGCACACGGCCAGCGTGTAGCTTGAGCCTGTCTTCGCCCACTGCAGCCCTGCAGGGAGAAAAGGACAATGAGCACTTCCGTGTTCTTCAGTGAGAGGCCCGACGGGCAGGGACAGGCACAATGGAAAAGGGGATGAAGGGAACCAAAGGATCAAAGCGAGATCCAGAGAGAGCCAGGAGATCTCCAGGTCCTCTGCGAGCAGCCCGGACTCACCCTCCTCGTCGGCACTGGCGATCTCTTTCAGCACCCCGCACAGCCCCACGTCCCGCCTGCAGCGGAAAGCTCGGTCAGCCCCCCTCGCCCTGCGTGCTGGTGACAGGCAGCCCAGCCACCTGCCTCCCCCACCCTCTCAAAATCCCCCCTCACCTGCTGAGAAGCCCCAAAGCCTCCAAACCACCTCTCCCCTCAGCTGGGGGCACTCACCCCTGGCACCAGCACCTGCTGAGCCTGCCCCCAGCTGCACTGAGCTCTCAGCTATATTATGACCCCCAACCCCTCCCAGGAAGCCGGCTGGGGTGCTGTGCAGCACCGCGAAGGCCCTGCTGCTCGTAGGCGAGCGCTCTCGGGGCTCTGCTGGGCAAGGAGGCTGCAGCACAGGTGCAGGGAAGGGCAGGTGAGCGCGGATACCAAGGGAAGGGGCAGCCCCGGCTCTGCCTCCCGCGGGGTGCG